GCCCCGAATCGGGCTGGGGGTTCCCTTGGGGCGAGGGGCCTGTGGTGGTTTGCAGGCCAGCCACACCCCCATGGGGTGAGGGTCCCCACTGGGGGGGCATGGCCAGCCTGGGTGAGGGGCTGAGGGCTGTTTTCAGGCTGGCCATACCCCCTTCAGGGTGGGGGTCCCCGCTGGGGTGCCTGGCCAGCCTGGATGAGGGGCTGATGGCTGTTTGCAGGCTGGCCAAGCCACCCAGTGAGGACCCTTACCCCATGGGGGTGTGGCCAGCCTGGGTGAGGTGCTGAGGGCCAGTTTTCAGGCTGGCCACACCCCCCTGGGGACTCAGGCCCCTAGCCCCTCCTTGAGCAGAGACCAGGGCTCGCGGGAAGCTTGGCTTCCTCTCTCGCCTGGAGCAACCCAAGCCTCCTCCTCGCTCCAGCTCCTGGCAGCCGCCATCTTCAGTCGTCTTCAGTCTTCGCTCTGCCTGCATATGCAAATTAACCACCATCTTTGTTGAGTTAATTTGCATACTCATCTGATTGGCTGGTGGTCGTAGCAGAGTGACACCAATTTGCATGTTTCTCTTTTATTAGTGTAGATGCTTATAAATTATAAGTAAGAGTTTTCTCTTTGTACTTGCTCAAAGGAAGAAAAACAATTTCAAACATTAAAAAATGGGATTGCAGTGACAAAATGAACAATTTATATTTTTATACCAAGTCATCTCAGGTAATCAATCTTTATGCTGAAATACTTTCTAATTCTACTTCTTTAAAATGCTAGTCCATATGAAAAAGGTGAAGATGGCAGACACTTAAACCTTCCATTTATAAAGTGTATTACATTTCATAAAGTTCTTTCTCTTTTATGAGTGCCATATTCTTGCCTCGAATAATGAAGCATTTCAAGTCAAAGATCAAGAAGCAGAAACAGAATAGTAAAAATCAAGCAGCTTTCAAACAACAGCATTAGTGTCAGATTAACCAAATGCTGACTGTTTCCAAATACATATGTTTGTGCTCTGAGGCATATTTTTTAGCATATGTTTGAAATCAGGTAAGCCTAGTGTCCTTAAATGCAAAGGCTGGAAATCAGTGTTCTTTGAAAACCAAAGGATGTTTTGGAGGAAGCATTGTGTTCTACTGCTCACCTCATTCCTGATTCAGATCCAGATAAGAATCCCCAAAATATGAAATTCTGATCTTCTACCACCTACAAGGCTGATTGCCAACATTCTTAATTATACAAAATTTCTGAATAAATATGTCTTTTGATTTGAACTCCAACATAGTGCATCAGGACACCCTGTGGAAGCCCACAGCAGCAGGAAACCGAGTCTGGCTCACAGCAGGGCTGTCTGAGGAGCTCAGCACTGAAGCTCTGGAGCCATCATTGCTTCCAGGCTTGGAGAAGTTCACCCAAACCATCAGTGACATTAGTCCAAATATCACTCCAAAGGGCAGTGAACTCTCCTGAAAAATAGATTTTAGACACAAGGGTTTCCAACCAGGACCCCAGGTCCCCAAAAGACCAGAAACCATGACAGTCAGATCTACAGGCCCAAACATGTCAACTCAACTCTTGGCATGATGTTCACAAGTCCACAATAAAAACAATTCATGTTGCCTCCTGTTATGGACTGAATAGTGTTCCCCAAATTCATATGTTGGAGTCCTAACCCCCAGTGCATCAGAATGTGACTGTTTGGAGACAGGGTCTTTAAAGGATAATTAGGTTAAAATGAGGTCATTGGAGAGGATGCTAATCCAATATGTCCTTATCTCTCCTTCTGAGAAGAGATTAGGACAGAGACATAGAGGGAAGATGATGTGAAGACACAGGGAGAAAATGGCCATCTACAAGCCAAGGAGAGAGGCCTCAGAGAAATCAAACTGGTTAACCCCTTAATCTCAGACTTCCAGCCTTCAGAACCGTGAGAAAATAAATTTCTGTTGTTTAAGCCACTCAGACTATGGTACTTATGGGAGCCTGAGCAAATTAACACACACACACACATACACACACACACACACACACACACACACCCTTATACAGGGGAATGTTCTATCGCTGTGCCCCTTGACTAAAATTACAACTTGAATATAACTTTTCTGTTATCTGTATGTGATATTCAAATTATAATATTAATAGGCATACACAAAAGCAAACAAAATATAATCAAAGTCTCCACTTTTATTCATTTTCCCCCTCTTTCTTTTTTACCTTGTGGTAAAACTTTAAGGTAATTCCTTCTGACATTCAGTTCTCGTAGAGATTTCAATTGACCTATCTGCTGGGGCAAGGCTGTGATCTCGTTGCAGCTGACATCCTGTATAGAAAGCAAAAAGAGAAATAATAAATGCCTTTTTCCAGGAAATCAAGCACTTCATGCGCAATCTCCTTAAAGAATTTAAATGTGAGGACAACTACACAGGGAGACTTCCATATTGGTCTCTAGGTTCCTAGCCAAGTAAGGCTGAGCACAGAGGAGAAACGGAAAGTTCAACAATTTAAACAATCTCTAAGAAAAGAAAAAGGAAAAAGAAGGATGTTGGTAGCCTCCAGCAACTACTCTGCCAGCCTCTTGGCCTGCCGCTTTCACATGCTTCAATCTTATTTCATTCTCACTTGAAACTCATGAGGCAATATTTCTAGCCTAATGCTTACAAATCAGAAAAATGAAGCTCAGAAAAGTTGTCATTTGTCTAAGTCTTGCAAGTGCCAGAGCTAACACTTGGAATGAATGACCAGCCCCGCTGTTCAGCCACTCTCCTATAAAACCTCTAAGTAACACCTTACCAAATGCTCACATTTTACAGAGAAAAACTATAAATATCAATGCAATGTTCAGATACACTATTTATTTTAAATAGAGTTATCACTAGAGGGCTGGAAACCTTGGACCTGAACACCTTTACCTACATTTTACAAACAAGTCTGTGGGGTGTGCAGATTGTGTCTTCTTTGCTTTGGAAGATTAATATTCTATTAATTATTGATTTGAAACAGCTCTTGATACATGCAAAATGGAGGCATGACATTTCAAATCTTATATATTGTTATTATTTTTCTTAATCCTACCCTTCCTCTTGTCTCTGGTAGCTCTGCCCTGCTCTCCACCCCTCATCCCAGGTACTCCTTTAGTCGAGACCAGCGATTTCAACAGGTGCCACAAGAATCTTTTAAACATGCAATACTTGACTATTTAGTCAGGGGCATTGACCTCTTTTCCCTTAGACTTTCAAATAATAATAATAATTAATAATAATAATAATAATAATAGACAAGAGCCAACACAACAAGAGCTGTCCAGTGTGAATTAATCAAAATCATACCTTTTTTTTTCAGATCAGCAAAAAATATATTTCTTGGTGTGTCACAGAATTTTACTAAATAGTTTATGTGTGCACCATGGGATGAAAAAGGTTGAAAATCGGTGCTTTTCTCAGCTAGACACTATAATGGTCTCCAGGTTGGTTTCCGTGTTTAATTCTCCTCCCTAGATCCATCCTTCCCAGAGTGAAAATTTACACAGTATAAATTTCATAGTCATTCACTAGCTTAAACATTTGCAACAGCTCCTCAGGAACTACAGGACAAAGTTCCAAACTCTGCAGCAAGGCCCAGCTCTAGGATTCAGGTCTGTATTTCTCCAACACCATCTCTCTGAATGCCCTCCCTTGCATCCTATACTGGGTTATTGCTGCTTATAGTTCCCAGTGTGTGCCAAGCTGTTGCACAGTCCCAAAACTTGTTCAGGCTTTTCCCATGTCTGGAATGTCATTCATAAGTATTGTCTTCTTGTCCCATCTACTCATCTTTCAAGACTTAATTCAACCCTCGCCTCCACGCTGAAACCTTTTTGAGACTTCCACCTCCTCTCCTGCTCCAACATAACACCCAGGGAGAACTGACCACTTTTCCTTTGTAGTCATACAGATAGTCTGTTACTGTATTTATCTGCTCAAATGTTTCTTCTCTTCTCCTGAAAGTCTGTGAGAACCTAGATCAGCAGTTCTCATCCTGTGGGTCGCAACCCCTTTGGGGGTCGAACAACCCTTTCACAGGGGTCGCCTAAGACCATCGGAAAACACATATTTGTAATTAGAAATAAATATTTCACAATATATAATTACATATTGTTTTTGTGATTAATCACTATGCTTTAATTATGTTCAATTTGTAACAATGAAAATACATCCTGCATATCAGATATTTACATTACGATTCATAACAGTAGCAAAATTACAGTTATGAAGTAGCAACGAAAATAATTTTATGGTTGGAGGTCACCACAACATGAGGAACTGTGTTAAAGGGTCGCGGCATTAGGAAGGTTGAGAACCACTATCCTAGATGGAAGAGACCATGTCTTATTCACTCCATCCTTTTGGTGCCAAGCAAAATGCCAGAAATAAGGTAAGGAATCAATAAATGTTGCATAAAATTCTAAGTCTATTGCTGTTGACACTCAAATGCTGCAGTTTACTCTGTCTCACTTATGGGACACAGGATGCTCCAACACACATGCCAAATGTCTTGCACCTCCTTGGTATCACAGAACCACAGATATATTTGGGCTATGAATGATCCCAATGAGATCAAGTCTTTAAATATCCCACATAACTGCTGAACCTGCAAAAAACCCTCTTTCACTCTCCCTTTTAGAGCAGCAAAGCCTCATTTCGAAATTGGTTTCACTTCATTCAGATAAGATGAACCATCTCCCTGAAACCCTGGGCTCCGAGTAAAAGCAGGGCCATACAGAACACAGTGGACTGCCGCTCTCTATCCTCACCTCATCTAAACATCCTCAGGTGACCTGCTAATCTGTCAAGGTCATGAGGATACTGAATGAATATCACTTGATGAAGAGGAATAATATCACTCCTGATAAAGGGAGTGAAGCTGTAATCTATAAAAGCTGGTGGCACACGTGTAATCAGCCTGGATGCTGTTCTATACTCAGCTGTCTACCTGGAGGCAGCGTGTGATGAGCTAAGAATACTAGGTATTCAAGGGCATCACCCCCCCCCCCCGCCCCGGCAAGCTTGCTGTTGGTGCATCGCTCCTGGCCCAGAAAAGTCACACAGAATTTTATGAAAAATATCTCTAGTGTTTAAAAAAAAAAACCCACAAAACCAATAAGCACATCTGCAGAGACAAAAAGTGTCAGAAAGTAATTTCAGAATTAGGAGGTCCAGAGATCTGTCCAATCACTCCTGGTCCCTCACTGAGTCAGTAAATCACTTTGTCTTTCTGAATATACTTCTATGTATGAGAAGTGAAAAGTGAAATGCCTGCTTTCCCAATTCCTATGGCATTTGATCAGTCAGAGAAGTCAACAACCAAATCTTTCACAGAAAGCCTTATCTTTCTTTGTCTTAACCAAGTTACAAATAAGCAAAAGATACCATTCCATTCTACGTTTAAAAAGCCCTCACACAAATGGTACACAGGTAAGCCCTAGATATCTATGAAATTAAATCATTCTATTGGACTCATAAAGTCACACTGGTGATGTTTTGGGGAATGGGGTGTTGTGGGGGAAGAACTAGTGGGAATTATTTTCCATCTCTAGAGAGAATTTATGTAGTTGACAACTAAAATAAATTTTTATAAGTCTGTGAGAGAAAGACAGCATGAGAAAGACCGTTTTGTAGTTCAGGGAAATTAGATTTTCAATGTGAAACTGACAATTTAAAGAAGTTTCAAGGACATAATTTTTAAAAATGCCTTTCTCTTGAGAGAGAGAAAGAGAGAAGAGGGAAGCAAAAAGATATAGGCAGCATTTTCACAGCATAAAATCTCATCAGATTATTATCCCATTTTTTGTTTGTACTATAGTCATTTTGCACTTTGTTCATTACCCTCTGGCTAGCCAGAATTTAGGATATCCTGTTTCTCTAAATATAAGGTAAATTTTCCAACATATATTTCTAACACAATGACTTTATCAAAGAAGATCAACTCCCCTCAGCTATTAAATACTTATTTATCAGTAGGGAAAATGATAACCAATATACCTTTACTTTTTTTAAAGAACCTCACATGATAAAAGCGAGTTTTACCTTCTGACTTATAGAACTGGACATCTGTACACAATTAGAAACACAAAGTCCAATTGTCCACTCACATTTTAAAGGGTATTTGGTGAAGAACAAATTATTTTAATAATACTTTTTACTGCTGTCAGTTACTTTCTGTCCTACCAAAAGAATATAGAAAAAATGCCCAGGCTGATCTAGCATATAAGTGAGATAAAGACTTTTCACTATAGTATAGTAAATATTGTTGAAAACTCTATTCCCTCCCAGTTATTCAACTTGCCAAATTTAAGAAGTTACAAATTCCATCAAAAAAATTGAAACCCATGCCCTAGCTGGTTTGGCTCACTGGATGGAGCGTCGGCCTGGGGACTGAAGGGGCCCAGGTTCGATTCTGGTCAAGGCCATGTACCTTGGTTGCAGGCACATCCTCAGTGGGGGGTGTGCAGGAGGCAGCTGATCGATGCTTCTCTCTCATCGATGTTTCTAACTCTCTATCCCTCTCCCTTCCTCTCTGTAAAAAGTCAATAAAATATATTTTTAAAAAAATTGAAACCCTTAGGTAATTATGTCTTGATTAGCTGGGGAATGAGGAGGAGGAAGGAAAAGATAATAGTATAGATGCTTGGGGATAAGATATTTCCATTTAGAAAATGTAAAAGCAATATTCCTAGAATGGCCTGGTTCTCTAGAACATGTCTGTCCATAATTAGCCCAAGATAAGATAGGGTTGTGATTTTGTTTGTTTGTTTGTTTTTTAGTTCGTTAAAGAAAAGAAGATTTAAGAAAATAAATTTAAAAAAGAAAAACACTAATGCCTCACACTTTTGAAATTAATTAGAATTTACCAAGCTATGAATTCCAGATTCAGTGGCTTCTTAGAATAGTCAAATGAATTCCTTCTGAATTATCTACTAGCTCTAAGCTATGTCTTAGAGAAAGGAAATTATTTCAAGTTTCAGTGAAATCAAATTACCATATATTTAGTGTCACAATATTACAAATATACAGGTAGACCAAAAAATGAACCATAAACATAGAATAGATATTTATTAATTATATTCTTTTTGACAGGGGAATAAATCTAATTATTAAATACTCGAATTTAGTTTTTTTATGGACCAGCCAGTTCAATTTTGTCATTTGGATTAAAAAAAAAAATAGAGAAGTTTACCTATGACTTAAACTTATACTGCACTGGTTTAATCAACATGCTTTTAAGTAACCACATTTCATCAGAGCCTTTCTAGGCAATAAAGGAAGTCTCTAGAAGTGTTAAATA